TTATGGACTTGGAAATTTTTATCCTACTAATGATCCCCTCTGTTACTTAGTTTGGATCAGCCTTTTCTCTGTATGCTAAATCAAAAGTGTCGTCTTTTCTCTTGGCGCTTCGCTTCCAAAGTTTATGGATCAGATGATGTTCGGATGATAGTTTCCCAAGAAATATGGGATAAAATTTATCCTCATCTCTTTGCCAATTGAAGATAAATATCCCAATAAAACTTTCATGGTCAATCTCAATTCTGCTCTCATTTTCTTGATTGTAATATTTTTAAAGATTTTAAACCTATTAGTGTTCCAATTCAAGCTTTCTTCTCTCTTTACAAGAATATTTTTACAATGGGCTTGTCTTACGTTGGACTATAGAAAGTTTATCCTTCTAATGATCCTCTTCTCTTAGTTTAGATAGCCTTTTTCTATAAGAGAAATCAAAAGTGTCATCTTTTCTGTTGGCGCTTCGCTTTAAAAGCTTATGGACCAGATGATGTTCCGATAATGGTTTCCAAAGAAATGTGGGATAAAATTTATCCTCAACTTCTAGTTATTTGAAGATAAATATCCCAATGAAACTTCTATGATCAATCTCAATCTACTCTCATTTCCTTGATTGTAACCTCTTTGAAGATTTTAAGCCTATTAGTCTTCCAATTTGAGCTTTTTTTCTCTCTTTACAATAATCATTTTAGAATGGACTCATCCTATTTTAGACTATAGAAAGTTTTATCCTTCTAATGATGCCATTCTCTTATTTAGCTTAGACTAGCCTATTTCTGTATGAGAAATCAGAACTGTCGTCATTCTCTTGGTGCTTCACTTATAAAGCTTATGTACTAGATGGTGTTCTGATGATTGTTTCCAAAGAAATGTGGGATAAAATTTATCTCTTTAGTTGTTTGCAGATAAATATCCCAATGAACTTCATTGATCAATCTCAATTCTGCTCTCATTTCCTTGATTAATATTTCATTGATTGAGAAGAACGTTAAACTATGGAAAAAAAATCTGTATTATTTTTGGTGAAGAAAAATAGAAGATTTAAGTTAAAATTGATGCAATCGAACGCAATACAAAATCTCATATTTGTTCTCCATTGGAGCTTGCAAAAAATCTAATCATTATAAATATTAGTTCTATAAGAAGTTGGAAGAGAAAGAAATTGACTGACACTGTGGTCAAAGGTTAATTAATAACAGAGGGAACAATAATGCTCGTTAGTTTCATCAATATGTTAGTTGAAAAAAAAAATCAAACTTTATTTTCAATATATTTCTTTAAATGAATGTCATCTTGAATTAATCAAACTGTTCAAGCTTTCTTCTCTCTTTACGAGAATTTGTTTCGAATGGACTCATCTTATGTTGGACTGTAGAAAGTTTTATCCTTCTAACGATCCCCTTCTCTTAATTTAGATTAGCACTTTTCAATATGGGAAATCAAAAGTGGTGTCTTTTCTCTTTGTCCTTCGCTTCCAAAGCTTATGGACCAAATGATGTTCCGATGATGATTTCCGAAGAAATGTGGGATAAAATTTATCCTCATTTTTGAGTTGTTTGAAGATAAGTATTCCAGTAAAACCTCCATGGTCAATCTCAATTCTGCTCTCATTGTCTTGAATGTAACCTTTTTAAATATTTTAAATCTATTAGTCTTCCAATTCAAGCTTTCTCCTCTCTTTACAAGAATCTTTTTAGAATGGAATCCTCTTATGTTGGACCATATAAAGTTTAATCCTTCTAAAGATCCTCTTCTCTTAGTTTAGATTAGCCCTTTTTCTGTATGCGAAATCAAAAGTGTCGTCTTTTCTCTTGGCACTTTGCTTCCAAAACTTATGGACCAGATGATATTTTTATGATGGTTTCCAAAGAAATGGGGGATAAAATTTATCCTGATTTTTTAGTTGTTTGAAGATAAATATTCTAGTGAAACTTTCATGGTCAATCTTAATTATGCTCTCATTTCCTTGATTGTAAGCTTTTTAAAGATTTAAAACCTATTAGTCTTCCAGTTCAAGCTTTCTTCTCTCTTTACAAGAGTCTTTTTAGGAAGGGCTCATCTTATGTTGGGCTACAGAAAGTTTTATCCTTCTAATGATCCCCTTCTCTTAGTTTAGATTAGTCTCTTTTAGGAAGGGCTCATCTTATGGGAAATCAAAAGTGTCATCTTTTTCTTGGAGCTTCGCTTACAAAGCTTAAGGACCAAATAATTTTCCGATGATGGTTTACAAAAAAATGTGGGATAAAATTTATCCTCGCCTTTTAGTTGTTTAAATATAAATATCTCAATGAAACTTTCATTGTCAATCTCAATTCTACTCTCATTTCCTTGATGGTAACCTTTTTAAAGATTTTAAACCTATTAGTTTTCTTAACAATGCTTTCAAAAAATATGCTTAAATACTTGAATATATATATATATATATATATTGAAAAGCCCAAGTGTTGATTTTATTGAAATAGAAAGGATACATAAAAGGTTGTATGAGAGAGCTCAAAAGAGGCACTCTACCCATACGATACAAGTAGAGTAATACCTTAACAAAAAGATACAGATAGACTCAATAAAAAGTAAAATAAATTTACAACATGCAGAAAACAAGTAGCTAGGGACGAGCTAGTTTAGTTTTGTCTCTTCCTCTAATTTTAGAAGCGGAGCCAGATAACAAACTTTGAAGAGTCGTGTCATTGTCAGGAGTAACTAAAGTATCATCCATTAAGTTTCCAAGTTGGAGTGTGCCCCGCCTTCTTCCGTCGAGAAGTGTAAACCTGTCATTTTTCATCTGAAGACTGGCTCATGTAATCGTCGGTCTGATTTGATGTTAGAATTGCAGTAGAAGGAAAGACAGTTGTTGCCACCGCGATAGGTTCCAGTGTATGTGAAGTGTGAATTGTTACCTCTGCACCTGATGTTTCCTGAATAGGAGCTGCGGGACTATCCTGATTTTCGGTTCGAGCATTATCTGTTGTAGTATGGTCGGGAGAAGGGATCTCAAGGGCATACAGCAACTCCAGTCTTGTGGTGATTCCCTCCTCAGGTTGAATATATATATATATATATATATATATATATATAGTCTAATTGATGACTTGTAGAGGGCCTTTATTGTTGTACGAGTACTATTGGCTGCTTTGTTGCAGCATATTTATTGATCCATTCTTCTATAAAACATAAAAAATAAGAATTATCTTGAAGGTGGACTTTGAAAAACCATTATTGATTGGGAGCTCAATTTGCAATTCAAGAGCTTAAAAACTCTGTCAAGTTGAACCATTTCTCCAATATTCTTTATCATCAAAGCTAATTTTCTTCACAAAATGCTTTAGGGAGCTCTTTTTGAACAGTAAACCAGCAGTTTTTGCACTAAATTAAAAGGCACCCAATTAACCGTATTTGGTTTGTTGATTGCCAAATTCTAGATTTTTCTAGGGCTCCTCTCTCATTCAACTCAATATTCTCAAGAATATTCTAATAACTTCTAAAATATCTCCGCACTCAGAATCAAATTTCTCCAAATCATCTCATTTCTCTTCGTACATGGCTTGGTTTGGGTACTCTTCTAGCTAATATCAAGTGCTCTTTTGATATTATTCCATTTAAAAATTTAGGCATTCCTTTAGGCTCTAAATATCTTCAACATGAGCTCTTTGGAATCCTCTTATTGAAAAGATTCACACAAAGCTTTCAGATTGGAAAGGAAATTTCTTATCTAAAACCTTGTAGGAATGTTCTAATCAATTTGTTGTTTTCTTTAATCCCTCTGGATTTATCTCATCAATTTAGAATATCTTCAAATATTCAACCATCCCTCTAATTTTAGTAGGATAGAGTTCCAGGGCTTTTAATACCTTTGTTGAATATTTCTTAGAAAAGACATAATGGTAGAAGAATTACTTTTTGGAAGGATAAACGGTCTTCTGAACATTCTCTTGCAATTGATTTCTATACCCCTTTCAATCATGCTATGAATTACACAACTCTTGCTTCTTTCTATTCAAAAGATAGAAGTAATATATTTTGCCGAAAAATCATCCCACTATATGTGAAAGATTGCCAGGAACTCTTTCACGCTCATACCACTCATCTCAAACCAAATCTTCACCATAACATCCCAATCGGACCCAACAAGAATATTATATGCCGCCTCTTTCTACTTTTTTCTTATTAATGGAGAAATCCTTATTCCTTGCAATTTTTCAATTTGAAAATTTATTGCCTCCCTTAAGATCCAAGTGCTCGTCTGATTTCCATAGTTAATAAAAATTCCTTGCAAAGTGTCTCTTTTTCCAAAAGGGGTCGGCAATTCTAATCATAGTCAACGGGGAAAAAGACTAAAAACGTTTCATTTTACACTTTCATTAAAAATAATTAGAGATCTTCCAGATGTCTTCTTATGCTCCTGCATTTTTGTGATCAAAACTGATAAATTGCTACGTAATTTTCTAATAAAAAGAGCACTAATGCCTTTGGTTCACCATCATTCATCTTGATTACTTTGGATTCATACTTCTTATGGAAGAATATTGATTAATATCACCTAGGCAATGGAGGACCCTCATTTTGTTATTCATCTCCAGCCACTCCATGTTTTACCAATTTCTTATTTTTAAAGGATTCGCCCAACTTTAATTCTACAAAAAAAGGAGCATTTACACACATACCACCCAATTCTTATCTATTTACATATCTAACACCTAAACTTTGATCATTACATTTACACCACACATCTTTCATATCACATCAAAAACATCACTATTTTAACATCGAGAATGAAATAGACCTTTTTCATGCATAGTTAAGATGACATATATATAAAAGTTGAAGTCAGGTAGTAGATATGTAAATACATAACAATTGAGTGCTGTCCCAGTAAATCTTCTAATAAAAATGAAAAACAACAGAGCTTGTAACTATGGGATACGCCATGCATGAAAGAACTGCTCGTGGCTACTGTTCTAGATGCAGGGTGTTAGGACAAGGTAAGATACTACATAGGAGTAACTTACAGCTTGTTTGGATGGCATTGGTGCGTCATCTAGAGTTTTGTGCTTGGAATGCTCACCATGACGAGCAGAGCCCGAACCAGTTCTTCTAGCAAATGCTTCCACGGCGCCAGCAAATCTATCATGAATTTCTTGGCCTACTGAAAATGAAATTTATGAAAAATCAACCCTTGCAAACGCATAAATGACGAAGGGATGCTAAAAATAGCAGATAACTCCGTGTTATTTATTACAAACCTGATGGTCTTTCTGCCTTCGCCATTGATGGTCCGGGAGCTGGAGCATGCCTTCCAAGAGGTTGCTGTGGATTCAGATGATAGGTCATTTAAAGTAATGTATGTAAATGAACAAGAGCCAAAATAATTCCCTGACCACTTAGACGGGTCAATTTAGTCCCAATGTTTATAAAAATGCTTAATTAGTCCCCATATTATTTGAATAGGGGCTAAAATAATCCACAATGGAAACTATTTCAACCTATATTAAAAGAGCCCTGCCGGCCGTTTTTTTTTTTAAAAAAACTTTAATGAACCTTCGCGGTTTGAAAAAGTGATGATTTTATAATTTTGAAAATAATTTAAATATAAATATAACCTTTTTGATTTTTTTTAAATGTAACATTTTAATTTTAAAATAGGTGAGACCAAACGGGTCTCACATTTTAAATAGTTTAGATGATTGAATACAATACTACAGGTAATACACTTATCCCAAAGAAATAAATGTATCACTTGTAATAGGAATTCAATCACCTAGCTAAAGAATTTGTGACATCCATTTTGATCTGCGAAATATTTTTATAAAAAGGCCAACAAGTTCCCCTATCTAACATAAAAAATTAGATAGGGTTTATTTTATCTAGGTTCCTGGTTCCCTATAGAGACAAGCCCCTATAGTTAATTACATCTTAAATGATCGAAATCATTTAAGAAAACTCTCGATTAAAATCAGGTGATTTTGCTTTCAAGATTTCAAAGTTTAAGTTTTCACGATTGGACATGGGGAAAATCAAATGGGAATGACTCAAAATAGGAACAATTATTTAAGAAATTCAAAGGAAAGAAAAGTAGGGGATATCACAGATCCAGGAGAAACCCCGGAGATGTCTCAACGTCTTTGAAATGATGTTTATTTGATATTTCAATCCTGCAAATTATTTAAGATTTAGGACTTATGTTTGCACAATGTCGGATTGTACAAATAGCCTAAAAAGGCAGGAGGATTTACATCGTACCGCACGGTAACCTCGGAATCTTAAAACGTTATGACTTATAATTTTATAATTATAATTGTACAACAGAGTTGTACAGAAAGCCTAAAGAGTGATTCTATAGATTGTTATTTAAACTAAGGAAAGTGTATAGTGATGTGAATGTGTTTATGTGATGTGAAGATGTTTTGTTGTTGCAGATCCATCTGGAAATTGTTCCTCGTCGCGATGTCCACGATGTTCGCTCCAAACTCTTCGTAGTAGCATCTCCTGGTTTAGTTTTAGTTTTGAAAATGCTCCTAACCACTAAGTTATTCTAAACTAAGACATAGCATATCAAAATAACTAAGCATGCACTGTGAAAGAAAAGTAACAATGTACTGTACAGTAAAAAAAAAGGAAAGACAGTATAACATGCTGAAAGAAGAGTATAACATGCTATAAAGAGTAGTATAACAGGATATAAAAGCAATATAACATGATGGAAAAATAAAATGTTGTAATATAAATTAAATTTGTGCACCTGGTAGGTTCATTACTCCTTTAAGTTTAGCTAATATGCGTTGTGTAAAAGAGGAAAGTCGGACCTGAAAAAGACTTAACAGAAACAGATAAATCGTAGGAAAAAGACAAACAAATAAAATGAAATAAAATATCACATATAAAGAACCAAGAATAGGAAATTTATATGTGATATTCAAATGTCCCCAATTGCCAGGAGGATTTGAGTGTAAGACAAACTCAAATCCCGGAGCATTGGGTTTCAGTTTTGGTCAAATTAAAGTAAGAATTTAATTATTTGATCTAATTAAATCAGTCATGAATCACAATCTAGTGCACCCTCGTGCCTAGTGTCCTAGTTATCTCATGAACTGTGGTCAGATGTCTGACATCTTAGGATCGTTTGAAAATTAGGATGATAAACTTTCTCTTAAGGTGTGCTCCTAAGGCCTAGGAAACATACATCTTAGTTTACTTGAAGTGTCTTAAAGTGTCTAACATCAACTAAGTGTCTCTCAACTAACCCTCAAACATCTTTAGATTAAGCTTAGCTCGCCATTAGGCTCCTAAAACCAAAGGGGTAAACCTATAGCTTTGGCAAAAGGGTTGTGAAGTGTGCTTTAAACCTAATTAAGGTAATTGAATTTAAGTTGATTCAAAGGTTAAGGGACCTAAATACAGGTCTACTAATCATTTAATCCATATTCCTAAATGTTATCTAAACTCTCACCTTCTTCCAACCCCCAACTATTCTTCGAATTTACAGTTTTATTTTTCATATGCAAAAAAGAATGGTATATGATTTACTATTCTATCCTCCCTTTAGATTTTATCACCTCGAAGATCCAAATCTTATTTTTAAATTTTCTCTCCTTTCTTTCCCTTAAAACTGTGAATCATTTCTGAATATAATTAAATCGAAAATTCTCATTTTTAACTTGACCATTGAAAAAAAAAACAAAAAACAAAATGAATGAAAAGGAGACCGATACATTTTTAAAGCCAAGCCAAATCAGTAAAGCTTAAAATAAAATTATGAATGTATCGGTCTAAAACGTTTAAATTCGTTAAAAAAAATGATCGGATTAATCCCGAGAAAGGATATCATTTCCAAGTGGCACTTTTGTGGATTTCCAAACCCAACATGAATTCAATTTATATCAAACTCAAAATGAAGTTTCAAGAGTCTTTTACATTTCATAAAAGAAGAGACATTAATTAATGGAAAAACAATAATTCTCTAGCCTTCTAGAAAAACATACCGATGTCAAAACGATTTAATTCCCCCCTCCATCAAAAGTTTACAATGAAATATATATATCCAATATCTCACAAAAGAAAGCAAATGTATCTTTCGGGTAGGGCCAAAAAGAGAGTCCCATGGGTAAGGCAACAGAGGGTATAACTAAGCACAGAGGGTATAACCAAGATCACGGGTAAGGACAACCCAAAGGCAATCTCCAAACAATAGACATCAAATGAGGCTCACGGCCAAACATGGCAAAGGGAGCAAAACAGCCCCAATCCACCCCAAATTGATCCACAAAAAGCTCACATGTAAAACCAGGGAGAGAGCAAAAACAGCCACCAAACTATTTTCTTAACAAAGCCAACCGAGCCCAGCACAAGGGGCAAACCGAAGCCAGCAAAAAGGAGCAAAGTAGTAAAATATTTCAGCCAATATAAAGCACTAAAAGGAGCCCAAACTGAGCCCAAGAACATGGTCAACCGAATCCCAAACATAATTTTCAACTTTGAAAAATGAATTCCAGCATATAAAAATAAACTTCCAGCATATATTTCAACAAGGGGCAGCAAGAGAAGCAAAATGTGAGCCCCAAATGTAATTTCCCAACCCATAAAATAATTTTCAGCATGTTTTCTATCAAAGGGCTGGCAGCAAGAGATGAAATAAATGAGCTCCAAATACATTTTTTCAGCTCATAAACATAATTTCCAGCATATTTTCTATCAAAGGGCAGCAAGAGATGAAATAAATGAGCTCCAAGTATAATTTCCAGCTCATAAAAAAAAAAGATTTCCAACATAAGAACAAAACCGGGTCCATCAAAGGGGTAAAACAGCAAAGATTTCAGCCAAGACATGATATCAAAAGGAGTCAAACCAAACCCAACAAATGAGCAAAACAAATGCAAATATCCCTTGCAAGAATCCATCTCAAAAAGAGTTAAAGTCGAACCCAACAAGTGAGCTAAATGAAATGTCATTTTCAGCTATTATGAAGCCAAGACCAAGCCCTCAAAAAAATGTACTAAAATATAGAAAATTTTCAGCTAACATTTAATCCTAGCATAACCAAAACCGAAACCCAGGCAACGGCAAAATAGAGAAAATTTCCAACATATGTTTCAAACAGTGATAGGTAGCATGAAATAGATGAGCTTGAGCTAATCATTCATTTCTGAACATGAGTAATAAAGGAGTTTGATAACCCATTCTAACATGCATTTCGATAGGGGCAAATCTCATCTCAAAACCACCATTACAATGCTTCCAAATATCTCAAGCAAGAAGAACAAAGACAGCCCACACATACTTTGTACATGCTTCGTTTTCACCATTGTTTTCACCATTTCTAGTGAGTATCCATGCTTAAATTTCAAAATAAGCCTAAGCTTCATTTCTAAATACTTTTTTATAAGAGAATAGAGATGTCTTTAGATGTCATCCGAAATAGTGTAAAATAGAGGAGGGAAGAAAAATACCTCTTAATGCCGACTTAAAGCAAAAGAAAATGTAAGAAAGATCCAATGAAATGCCTCCCAAAGAGATCTTCTAAAAAAGAAACTTCAAAAAAAATAGCAACCGGCAAATCCTTTAAACTTCCAGCACACCAGAAGCTAGTCAAACAGAAATTTCGACAGAGTTTTCTTCTTGAAAGCTTTGAGAAACAGCCACCAACGGATGCTCCACACCCCAACACACAAAAATCAAATTTTAGATAAGATGTTAGTAGAGCTTTCTCCCCCAAAACTTCCCACAGTAAAGAAGAAAGAAAACAGTCTCTCGGACAGCAAAGAAAAAAGAACCAGCCTCACAACAACCAAAAAGCCACTCCTCTCATTTCAGACTTTTCTCAAGAGAAAACAGGATTCCAGAAAAAATTCCAGCAAACAAATAAAATGGTAGCACCTCTCCCTCAAGAAAATTTCGGCCAACCTTAGACCCTCCCCCAAAGTGGGGTTTTTATAGCAGAGAAAGGAGCAAAGAAGCCACCTACCAGCCTCCTTGGTCAGGAAATCATGTAAAGGGAGAGGATGAGAAAGATTTAAGGCAAGAGGAAATGCAGCCTAGGGCAGAGGAAGAGTCGGCCAGGTGGAACTTCGCAGTTGGAGAACTGCTCAGTCGAGTGGAGCTCGAGGAGGCGAGCCGCGTGCGCGAACAGCAGTGGAATGCAGCGTGTGAGGGAAGAGATGTAGGAGACGAGGCGGACGAGGGTTCGATCGTCAGGCTCGAGTGCAGCAGATCGCGGGAGAGGAGACGCGGAGAGGAGCCGCGTGCGGAAGCTAGGGCTCCGCCCGAGCGGCTCTCGGTCGAGGCAGAGGAATGTCGTGTGTGGGTAAAGGTAGAAAATGACTTAGGGTTATAAATCCTGATATTATAAATGATAAATATATAAAATATTTGATATTTCTTAAAATAAAATTTGATTAGTACCCTTTTTGTCTGTGCGTCACAATACAACAAAATGGATGTTCCTTTTAGGTAATTTTGACGCTCCGGACGCATTGACGCGATCCGTTTCGCCACCGGAAGTCATTTTGCGTGCCAATTTTCTCGTGTAAAAAATATGACAATATGGGTGTCCTTTCCTACCAAAATTGGTGTCCCGGACGCGTTAGCGCAATCCAATTTATCGTCAGAGGTCATCCGGAGAAGTTTGCATTTTCATCCGTCCTCTGAGCTTAATTGAAGTCTGATTTCGTGCAATTTTGTGAATTTTGTGCATTTGGTGTGTGTATGTGATGAAAAAGTTGTGACGAAGTTTTCCTAAGGCTTGGAGTCCTATTAGAAACTTTTCCTTTGAGTCTTCACAAAATAGTCCATAATCGCTCGTTCATAAAACGATGGTCTTGTGCCAAAAATGCTAGACATCAAAGGAAAATAAGAAGTTAGACTTTCTAAAAGGGTGGGTCTCAATTCTAGTTTTCTAAGATGGTCAATAGGAACTCCTAGAGTTAGATCCTAATACCTTAAAAAAATAAATGACCTCAAAAAATGAGGTCAACAAGCCCGGAGACTAAATTGATTTTATAAACTCTGGGGCTAAAGCGTCCCAAAGAGCCGAATGACCATGTGACACTTCTCTCATGCGTAAATTATACAACAAATGGAAACATGTAAAACATAAATGGCATACTCTTGGTTTAGTAGTTGCACCAATCTGTGGATACTTCAAAACAGTCCAGTCAAACACATAATCAAATTGGTATCCTGTAAATATTGAAAAGATCAATAACTCCTATAAAAACTACTGCACAGTATGCATTCAGTGCTTAATTCAATGACCTCAAAATACCTTCTCGAATAAAAAGGTCCCGAAATAGCTTCTTCAAGTAAGCATAATCTGGTTTGTCTTCAAACCGCAAAGAACGACAATAATGGAAGTATGAGACGAATTCAGTTGGAAATAACTTGCATAGCACCTGAATCAGAAGTATAAGAGCCAAGAAGCTTTTTTTTACACTAATCTTGTTACTAATAAAGAGATATGCATAATGATGATTGAGAGAATCGCATACCTCGGCTGGAGTTAACATTTTCTTTTCACTAATCTTGTCATACTTCTGCTTCTTTGTGCCAGCTTTCAACCCCTGCCATGGGAGACTAATAAGCAAACAGTCAGAATCTCACATTAGATACAAATATTGAGGCATAATAATGATTAAGTAGTTCTGTTGATGTGCCCAAAAATTAACAAAGGATAAAAAGGTCAAAACAATTTTTATACTACTTACACGTGGCCATTTTAATCCCAACTATATAATATATTCAATTTAATCCATTGATCAGTCAAAAATGATCCAAAATAGTCTCTCTGTTAGATTATTTGGATAGGATTTGAGAAGACAAGTGTATTTGGATCAGATTTAAAAAATCAACGGATAAATCTAGGACTTACATGGCCCCCTAAACAAAGTCCAAGCCTGTTTTGGGCATTTTTTTCTCAACAAATAGTGCAAAAGAAATAAGTTCTGAAGAATCTAACCTTCCCCTTAAAAAATACATGAACACATAACCAAGCGATTCTAAATCATCCCTTCTGCTTTGCTCTACAAGATATACATTAATTTTACATTTTTCTTCTAATATACGGTAAGTCATGAAATGGTTAAATGTACTTGAAACTTGAGGAACGTACCGACACCAAGATGAGTATTCATGCTAGCATACCGTGCTGTTCCAGTGAGGTTCTTGTTCTCCCTGTCAAACTAACCAAATCTTTAGCAGAAGAAACAATTCAGAAAACATTTTGAAAAGGGAAAAAACATCATAACCGAACATAAAAAATAAAAACTGGAGTGAATCATAGAATCAGGATACAAGAAGGAATTTTATATTTGAAAATTGTTGAAGATGATGAGATCAAATGCAAAATGTAGCAATTAAATAGAGCTATATGAATAAAGTTAGATGATGAAAACAATAGTAGTAATAAAATGGATTATTTGTCTAGTTCTTCCCTACATTTGTGAAGTCAAGTCCCGATAATAATTCAGGTAAGAAAAACAAGGTTGATTAAAAAATAAAACATTTGAACTTTTCCTCTAAAATAATTCATTACTCCTCGATATATTACTTTATATCTCTGCTAGCCTTAAGCGTCTGGTTATGATCTTAATTTGGATTATTTAGTTATATGTTTCCTTAAAATAATTTCCTAATTAATTTTGAAAATTTTAAAAAACAATGATCTCTCTTCTAATAATTGTTGTGTGCACACACTAGATCTAATCAGCCAAAGCAAATTGCAATGCATAAATAAATGAAGCTCTTGCTAACAAGATTTCTATAAATATCTCACCGACTAAACTATGTCATATAGGAAAATTTACACCAATACATGTCAACATGAATATCCTATGTGCTTGCATCAACAAAACTAATATAAGATATTATGGGTTTAATAATGGTTCATATTTAATCCTACAATGAATAGATCTGTTTTCTCACCAATCAATGACTAATGTCAATTAAAGTTTCATCATATATATTATGATAACTTCAAATACATTGTACACAGTTTTTTTTAATATGCACTAACTCATGCATTCTTAAGAGAAATAAAAACTATATAAAAATAATTTCTGTGCTCTTTATAATTTTGCATTAATTGCTTCAGCATAAAGATCATTTCCAAAGCACATTTAATTGCATAAAACTAAATTAATTCCCTCATACCAACATAATTTTCACAAATCTGTGCTCCATTACTCTTTCAACACTTCATTGAATGATATATATGTTTAATTCCTCCAAAATTAACACAATCATGAAAATCTACAATGTTCTTAAATATTATTGGTTTAGAAATGTTTCTAATAATTTGGCAGCTTCATAAGACTTCATATTTCCTTTGAAAAAACTTGTTACCTAAACAAATGTAACGTCACTTATAACTTTGCAAATCTCTATAAGCATCTCATTTGGGCCAAAAGCATACTTCATGATTCCATTCATTATGCTCTTCAAAAGAGATCCTTCTAAAAACTATAATTTAATAAAAAGCTCAAAGTAAAATTTCTATCATCATAAAGCTTGTGATGATTATGCATACAATCATAACATCAATGTCAATTGAAAATCATCTTTGCATGATAAATCATATAACACAAAACCTGCGCAACATCTAAAAGTTTAAAAATTTGTATTCAAAATATTATAGAAATGGGTATCAAGTCCACTAATTCAGCCATCTAATCTAGGTTAAGTTGACCTACAAGTATTATTAGCATGATGATTCAGTTTGTGTAGATGAACTTGATGATGTCGATCGGTCATCAATAATTGAGCATATTATTAATGCTAATTTTACGATGTGCCAAAAAGTTATTTTGAAGTCTAAATTTGAGGCAATATTTGAGCTTCCTGCTAAGACTAAAATTTCTTCTGGTTTTATAAAAAAACAAGTTGATCCATAAGTTTCAATATTCTTTCAAGATTCTTCTCCAAATATAAAAGTTGACCAATATGTTCTAACATTATTGGTTATACACGCTTTCTCTCAAAACGTATAGGTTAAGTTTATACTACCACTGTTGCCACCATCACGTGAGTCTTCTATTTACCAAGATTTGATCAATAAAGGCATATAAAGCATGATGACTTTTAAAATCAAAGCCTCCAAAAATATACTTCTTGCATTAAAACAACATAAGCTGAAGTTTTTAATGCTCATAAGGAGTCATGAAATTTGGAATAAATTTTATTTTGACAAGACAGTTACTGAACTAACATCAACCCTTATCCTCGAGCTTGAACGAAGTATCCATATTAAAGTCCCTTTTCCTCATCTTTGATCCTCTCATTTTCACCTTTTTAGTACTCTACATCAGAAATCATTCGGCCATAACATTGATTACTAGCATTTAGCACAAATTTATCATGCCTTAGTGGCATTGTTTTCAATCTTTCTTTAAAAAAATATTTCTCACTTTAAATATATTTAGAAATTTTACCTGCTCCCTATCTACCTAAATTCCTATGAGCGAGCAAACCAAAATAGAAGAGGTCAACCAAGGTCCAATCTCTCTCTCTCTCTCTCTCTCTCACAATCCCCACCTCCAACCTACACCTCGGCCTGCACAAAAACTAAATAATAATAATGATAACAAAAATAAAAAACAGTGATAGACAGATGGAGTAATTGGGGTTGAAAAATGAAGGCTATTTAACAGTCTCGCTATTATCTACTGAAAAAATAACAATGCATATTCAGCATTAATAAAATTTAAAAAAAATGATAACTTACCGGTACGGTATGTGCTTATGAGTTTGAAGATCTCTATATTTCTTGGCAAGACCAAAATCAATGGCAAAAACCTACATAGAAAATACATTAAGTAGAAAAAGTCGAGCTTCAACTTTTTAATTCAACATCAAAATAATTTTTTTCTATTTTCCAAAGCATTAGGACAACAAATAAATTGAAATGTTAAATACTTAAGACCATTTGCGGTATTGCTCTTTGCAAATTAGCATACTAACTAGCTCTCTATGGGCAGCTATTCTTGTTCAATTTTCTATAATTAAAAAGAGATTTAATAATAGGGGCATTTATATATGTACCTATCAATTCATATATATCAACATATCTAACACCTAAATTTTGCATTTTACATTTAAAACACCTAAATTTTCATATTACATAAAAAATATTAAAAGTGAAATAAACCTTTTCATGCATAGGTAAGGTGGTATACATGTAAAAATTGAAGCTTAGATGTTAGATATGTAAATACATAGGAAACGAATAGTATGTATGTAAATCTTCCTTAATATTAGCCTAAGATACAAAATGAATCATGATAGCCCCAGAAAACTAAAAAAAGAAAAAAAGAAACAGCTAACCACGCTATAGAAAGTCAATAACCTAATGTAAACTAACTTTTAAAAACCATCACAAGAATTAAGTGCCAGAAAACTCTAATGCATAAATGCACCACTTTTTCCATTATAAATCTCAGAGAAAAAGCAGTATTTTGTCTCAGATGAAAAAGATTTAATTTTGATTTCAGGTCGATGACCAATTATTAATTTCTGCCAAAAATAACAAAATAAATTTATTTTAAATTTGCTAGTTTTAATGCACTCCCCAAAATTTGGTAAAAATTTTTTAAGCATTGTCTGTGACACGAAACAACTTAATCTAATTATATGATGGATTAAAGGTTGCGAGGTCATCACCAACAAGTGATACATCATAACCTACTAAATAATTAGCGGAAAGCAAGAAAGTTATAACCAGATATAAACTAGTATTAGATCAATTAAATAAAATTTTACTACTCTGAATGGGTTGATATGAGAATCAGCGGATATATAATAAGAAACAAAAATAAAATAAGGGCATTTACATACATACCACCCAATTTTTATATACCACCCAATTTTTATTTACCACCCAATTTTTATTTATTTACATATCTAACACCTAAAACTTTACTTTTTATTCAGCTGCCACCCAAATTTTCCATGTCACATTAAAAAGATGTCACCATTTTAACTTTTACAAAATGAAATACACATTGCCATGCATAGGTAAGGTGACATGTACGTAAAAATTGAAGTTTCGGTGTTATATATGTGAATTTTTGAATAACTTTCATCTCAATGAATACATAGATAATTCACCTATAAATAGGCGTTTACAAGAAATAAAACAAGGAAAGAAATCTTCCTACAATTAAGTAATTCCTATAATTATAGAATAAACATAAATACCTATAATTAAGAATTACTATTTTTATACTATCACAAAATATAGCAAGTACTAAATAACATAAAGGTAAATAATAATGAGCGTAATTCCACACTCCCCCTCAAGATGGGTTGTACAGATTGTACATGCCCAACTTGTTGGTTAGCTCATCAAAACTGGACTTAGGGAGAGCCTTGGTGAGAATGTCTGCGGTTTGGTCTCTAGAAGGAGTATAGACCAATTCAATGATTCCATTGTCCACCTTCTCTGAAATGAAGTTCCGATCAATCTCAATGTGTTTCGTTCGGTCATGATGAACAGGATTCTTTGCGATACTTATTGCAGCTTGATTGTCACAGAACATCTTGATAGAATTTTCTCCCATAATTCCAAGCTCTTTGAGAAATCTTTTGATCCACATTCCTTCACAGATTCCAAGTGCCAGTGCTCTGTATTCTGCTTCTGCGCTACTCCGAGAGACCACCGATTGCTTCTTACTTCTCCATGTCACTAGATTGCCGCATACATACGTGCAATACCCAGAGGTTGATCGTCGGGTGGATATATCTCCTGCCCAGTCTGCATCAGTAAATACTTCTACCTTTTGACTATCATTCCTTTTGAATAATAATCCTTTCCCAGGTGTCATCTTTAAGTATCTTAAAATACGGTTGACAGCTCCCATATGTTCCTCAGTAGGAC